TGAAATATTTTGGAGATTCAAAGCATAACCTTGGAGATGTGGAAGGTGCTCTGAGAGTAACAAAAGCCCAGGAGAAGGGATCTGTAATCAAAAAGAGACTATCAGAGAGCTGTGAGGAAACTGAGGATGGAAATTTGGATCTTGGTCATTTGTATTGATCTGTTATCTACTGTGTTGTCTAGAAGAAGGAACGGTTTAGAAATCCCTCAGCTAAGTTTCATTTGTCTCAGCTGGGGTGTGTGGCCTTGACTTAAACAGCTGTTCTAGCCCATGGTTTTCAAACCTGTCACATATGTCCTGCCCTCAGGTGATGTGCCTTGAGTTGGGAGTCACCTCTGTGGGCTGGCAGAGGTGTAACTCAGCTCCAGGCACCTCTCTGGTGCTGGAGTAGTGATGCTGGAGCATGGGGCAGGGTTGTGCTGCATGCTTGATGACATCCTTCTTCCAGCCCCTGCAGGATTGGGGGTAGTGGATGAAGGTGCCAGTTGGGAGCTGCAGTTTTGAGGTTGAAGGTGTGTAGTAGAAAAATCAGGGAGAAATGAGTGTATGCACAGCCTAGTGCAGCTCTGGGAGCCTATGTCTGTGGTGGTGGTACCCAAACCAGTCTGGGAAGCATTGGCTAAAAGAAATGTGAAGTCCTGTTGCAGGTCAGTTTGTTGGGAGATGTTTCTCTATTCTCATGCTTTTTCCTGGGCGTTTGCTGTTGGAGGTGATAAGATTTGCCTGAAAGCTGCATGGGCAAGAACATGCCAGGCTTGTGTCCTGCTTGAACAGTGTCTGAGGTGGGAGCCGCATGGGACAACCTTTGAATCAGCTTTTATAAGTTACCTACTAGAAAAGTTGTTAGTTCTATACTTTTCATTTAAGGATAGGGTAAATTACTTTCTGTATTGCAGACTTCAAGATCTTTCCTGTTTTTAAGTCTGGATTGCAGCTAAGCTTTTAATTTGATTGTATTTCTGTCAAATACTTGACTCTCTTGGTGCTGAGACTCTCAATTCCTGGATTCTTTTTCTTGACAGACACTGCAGCAATACATGCTTTGGTGTGTCCCTTGCCTAGGAGACAGTCAATTAAAAGCTTGCAGCTCTTCCTTATCTTTTTGGGCAGAGTGAGAGAATAGTGAGCTGGGTAGTTTTTGGAACAAGGGTCAGTGTCTGCCTTCCTGTCTGCTGTGTGACTCAGCGTATGAAAGACTTGCTTATCCCTTCCTCCTCTAAATCATTTGGGAGGCAGTGGCAATGGCAGTCGCACAATCCCTTACAAAGGGATGAGATGTCATCACCTTTCCCTGCAGGTGAACTGACAATTGAAGAACAGGTCCTTGATGGTGAGCATTACTACTATTGACCTGTCCTTTGCATGCCCTGCATAGGGTTTCTTCCATGATCTGTTGTAGATGATGGAAGGCACCCAAAAGGCGTGTAAAGTAGTCATGTATTTATGGCCTGTTTACAGGAGAGTTAACTACTTCTACTCAGTCTGTGCTCTCTCTGCAAAGTTTTAGCTGTTTGAGGCTTGTTGATGTGGGGCTCTTTGCATTAGGAAGAGCTCCAGTTCCCCTCTGTTCAGCTAGGTGACTGCAGTCATTTCTGATTTCTTGTATTTCATGTTAGGAGAAAATCAAGGAGATTGACGATTGCTCTGTTCAGAAGAGCAAGTTGTTAAAAATTTATAGCCTTTCTGAAAGAACATGTGTTCAGGTTGGCACATCCTGTACAATTTCTGGTCATTTTCAGTTTACTTCTCTCAAGATACTAGTTTCAGGTTTGTAGTAGGTAGGTATGACAAGACTTTCATAGCAGGTCCTGGCATCTCTACTCCAACATGACCTGGCCTTTCAGAAGCACCTTGATGGCTGACTTGGGAACTGTAGGACCTTCACTTGAGTCAAGTAATTCTACTATAGACGGGCTTGCCACCTAGTACTGTTATACAAAAAGCTTACTTTTGATACTGAACTGTATTGCTGGTCTAGGTGAGATGGTTTAAACCTGAATTTAGCAATGTGCTTACAAATTCTGTGCAGTTTAATTCGAACTTTGGTGTTACACTGGGAGTCTTCATTGGGGTCGAGTGTCTGCTGCCTTCCTATGCTGCATATTGGATTTTGAATCTCGCTATAACTCCACTAAACAAAAGGAGTGTCTTCATTGGAAATTACAGTAGTCCTCTTTATCCTAAGGCAAGATCTAGGACACGCTGTCACAGTCCTCCTCATGCTTTTAGTATGATTGTTTAGCCAGTCTCGAAAGAATAAGGAATCTGTCGTTACATATGTTCAGTTTCTAGCTTGATCGGTCTGCGATGAGAGATCCTGGCAAATCAGGTTCTGTGTCATGGTTTGGTGGGGTTTAATGGTACTTTTGCCTTTTTGCTGTTTACATACTCACTTGGAAAATGAAAGATAAAGTTCAGAACTGAAGGGTAGAAAGAAAGAATTTGAATGGCAAATGAAACACTGTCACTTTTTAAAATTTACAAGAATAGAGTGTAATAGTGAATCTTTGAAGCTTGCAGGATATTCACCTCTTTTTGAAATGTTAGCCAGAGGGTGTATTTTTGTTTCTGAAATACTGTTCAGTTTGGTAAGGTGTGTTTTTATGGGTGAGAAATAGGAAAGTATTTTGGTCACAATGTTACTTTTCTTTGAAAAATAATATGTAATGAGTACTGGCATTGGAGCATCATATTTAACTTTGGCTAGTATGATCTTTGAGTAAACAAAGGACCTGAAGTTAATTCATGTTATGCAATTCTCAGATATATGCCTTTAGGATCTAAGAGGCAATGCTAACTTCATATTTGAAAGTTCAGGGAACAAATATTATACGTTGTATTTGGTGTACTTTGGGGTTGGGTTTTTTGCTTCACTATCCCTTGCAACAGTTCTTGCAACTTCATGCCTTGTGACATGGAAAGATTCATTGCAGAGCAAATACCCTCATGGTAAACAGGAGACTTTTGAGATTTAAAAGAAAATAAATTCAAGAGTTTTCTCCAGAACTAAGCTATTGCTATGTCTTGCAAATAATTTTCCAGTTAGCTTATGGTGTAACTTAATGAGCAGGAAATGAACATTTCCAGAATCACTCTGAAAGGTAGTAGGTGGCTTGTCTAACATCCACCTGTGGTAGTAGGCATCAGAAGTATGCTGTACATTCTCCTCAAAGATACTGCTATTTTAGCCATGAGCTAATAACAAAAAGATCAGATATCGCAAGGAGTTATATTTTATTTGACCAATTATTGTGATGGGGGGGAGGGGTGAGGCACTGGGTCAGGCATGTGGATGCACACTACTCTTACAGGGTTTTTACGTGCCTTAAAGCTTGCTGGTTTTTCTCCCTTTTCAATTTTAGTTGGTCAGGCAAAAGATTTAGTTAAGACATGATTTGAGCGCTGGGAGTGTCAAAAAGGCCATACTTGGCCAGTCCACACTAGTTTTTTGTCTCCATGAGTGTCTGTGAGCAAATACTTACAGAAAATACCAGAGCATGTATAGAGTGACATTGACTTGGGCATATTCTTCCAGTTTCAAGTGGCTGGTTGTTCATTAATTTCAGAGCTGTTGATGGGTTTGGTTTTGTATCTATTTATATTTCTGGCCTTTACGGCATCTTGTGGTAATTAGGAGCTGTAGGCATGTGTGTGTGGTCCAAATTCCAACTTTTAACCAATGCCTGATAATTTCACTCTGCCTAAATCCTTGTGTTTGCTAAATAATCATTCCGTTCCTATTCACCAGTCATGTTACTGGTGAGTTTGTATATCCTTTCATCATTTGTTTTCCAAATTTCTAGTATCTTTTTGCAAAGAGGATCAAGAAGGGTAGATTCCACTGATATTTTTCTTGTTCTTCCATAGCTTTTTTGAGAAGGGATGTGTCGGAGTGAGAATCGGGCTCCGAGTAATGACGTAGCCTCAATATGAGTATGGTCGTTCTCCCTTTATTCAAGTTTTTACAGCATATTTATAGACAAGCAGAAAGCCATGCACTAAGCCACACGTCTATGATTGGTTTACAACTTACGTCCACGCGTATCGAGTTATTTTTAATTGGTACACATCTCATGTCCACGCGCCATGAAGTAACACTGTTCACTCCCCTGCTCAGGGAGATAGCTCCTCTTGTCTTTTCTTTTGTTCTGCTGCTTCTGATTCTTAGGGGATTCAAGGAGAGTTCACAGTTACTTTCGGGCCTGCAGCTAAAGCTTTTATTCGCAGCCCATTGCAAGGGCTGGATTGTTCATCGCAATTAGGTTATGTCCCTTCTCATTCAGCCACTCTTCCACAGGGATGCCCAGGCTACTTCCAGGATTCAGGAGCAGTGCTTTCAGTCATAGTGCATCCATTGTATATTTAAATGTGTGTCTAGGTAGTAGGTTATTAACAAGTATATAAATGAAGTGTGATCTTTTGTGCATGGATGAAGTGTGTGATGATACAGCAGTTAAGACTTGATGGAGCAGTTAAAGCTTTCAGGAGGTCTGTAACCATGTAAAAACATCAGTGTATATTACAAATTTGAAGTTCAGAATATAATTCAATGCAAAAATCATTTTTCTTCATAAACTTGATTTTAAAACTGGCTGTCTCTCCCTTCTCTATCATCTATAGGATTCAATACGTACTAACAATTATAGCATTTTTTCAGTTGCTGCAGCTCACTTGTGAGATTATTGACATTTAAAAACGAGTGAATAGTATTGCAAAATGGAGAGAAACAAGGAGCAATGGTCAAATATTTAAATCTTTATAAAGAAAATAAGCTGTATTCACAGAGCAGCAATCAGGAAAAAAGTTACTTGCCTTACAATGGGAATTAGAGGTAAAGTAAAACATCCTAAAAATATGCCTCACCCAAACTTTGAAGCATCTCATACTACACGTGTTAAAAACAGCTGTCCCTGTTGCAATTTGTAGTGCAATTCTGTTATCTGACTAGTAAATTGTATTGTTTTTACAGCTTCAAGAAAGTCATATAAACACGTGAGAAGATGACAAGATCTAGATCAAGATCACCACGATGGAAACCGAGGTAAATATTTATCTATGAATTGTGTTCTGAAATGTAGTTCTATGTAAGGACTTATAAGTAGGACTTAAAACTTGTGTAAAAGAAAAAAAACTGCATGCAGAATTGCAGTTTGTAAAGTGTATTTTATAGACTGTATTTTATTTTCCAAACTGAAATCCTTCTGCAATTTTTTTCCCAACTTACAATTGTATTATTATGATTGATTTTTTTTTTTTAAGCTGGAGGTGTTAAGTTTTTGCTCTCTGCCAAGAACCATGTTCAACTTGCATGTTTCGGGACTTGGAACTACCTTAAGTAGCAAACTAGTTAAGGTTATGTTTACTCAGGCACCACCAGGTGCACTTAATGTCTGTAACTCATTCCTGTTTTGCCTGTCGGTCTACAGGGAGGGCCAGACTGACTGTTTAAAAAAAATATATAAAAACACACCAAAAAAAACCACAAACAAACAAAACCCAGCTTCTTAATTCAAACACCTCAGGTTTTCTGAACCTTTGGGGCTGATCCACAAATTGATCTTTAGCACAGTTAGATATGCCTTGCAGCATATCTAAAGCATAATGCAAACTAAAAACATGGGAGTTGGTGCCCTTCTTTTTGGACACTAGCCTAGTAGCATGTGTCATTGATGTTTGCCATCAGACTAACATCCAGGGTACTTCATGCTGTTAGTTACCTGCCTAGTTTTTAGGACTTGCAGTGCAAATTTGAGGTGTTAAAACTAGGAGGCTGGAATACAATTTTAAGCTTTCAGGAGCTTGAAACTACTTTTCTGCTGGTTTGGAGTTGCTTTTCTCAACAGACTAATTAAGTTGTGCTGACCAAGACCAAGGGAGTTTGTTGGATAACACAGAAAAATATGTGTGAGTGTGTGTTTGTTTTTAAAAAGAGAAATCCTATCTACTTCCATACTAGATTGATAGTTGTGAATATATCCTTTGAGTGAAGGGCAGGAAGGAATGCCCGAGCTCTTATTAAAATGCAAGCCTTAACCAGAACATGGGAGGGCAGCAGCAGTATGGGTGCTATTGGAAGTTAGCCATTATAGTTTTATGAAGATCTGTGGTTCTGAGTTTGAACTCATTTGCAGAAGTGGAGCAAATAGTTATGCCAAATTGTACATTTGCAATATGTGTATAAAAGAAGGAACTTCCTTGAATTTTTTTGACTTAAATTTTTCAGTGTTTTTTGAAGAGTGTATCAAGAGTGTACAGTGAATACTTGAATACAAGCAGAACTGTTATGTCTGGGATTACTTCCTGGTTCTTGCTAGTGGCTTGTACTATTTTTTTCTTCATTTACGGATATTTTGGCTAAAAACTTAACAAGTTGCTTTCGTTTTTGTAACTGTAGGTGAAAATGCAAAGCTGAATGATGCAATTGAGTCGTTCTTAGCAGTTGAATCTTTAATAGAAAAAGCTGCAGTAAGTGTGGAAGTGCATAGGTATACGTGTATGTACATGTACACATTATTATACAAAAAGACCAAAACATCTTTTTCAAACTCAATCTTTTCTGCAGGAAAAAGCCTACCTGTATGACATTTAAATAGGATATTTTATAATGTTTTCAATCAGTTTTGGGAGTTGTTTTGGCATGCAAAGAAAACCTGAAAAGGTCTTGTCTTTTTTTAATTTGCATTTCTTTATATGTGTTTTTCCTTACCCTTTTTTTCCCCTTGGCACTGAAAAAGATAGTGAATCCTTCAGAAGTGTGAAAATGTATGTAACAGTTGCTTTCTGTTGAAATATGAAATTTATTTTTAGTTTTAAATGAACAAATGCAGAGAGAGAAATGATTCACTTACTACTATTTCTAGGGGGTATTTTTACGATGAAAACTTTCAACAGAGTAAAAGAAGCTTGGTACTCTAGCCAGGCATATGACACTTTGAATATCTTGTTTTCAAGTTTTTTACCAGTTGATTAAAATTAGGTACTAAACTATACTTCCTTAGGGAATAAATGCTCTCAATAAGAGGTTCATTCAATTTTATGGGACTACTCCATGTGGATTTTATTTTTGCCTCAGGTCCTTATCTCCAGCATTTAGGAGTCCAGAGCACCATAGGCAAAGGCATACTCATATTAATTATGACTGTGAATATAAAAGCTTTCGTAAGGACCCAAAGAAGCCTATGCCTTGGAGAATGGAAGATGAAAAATACGGACAAAGCAATTCCAGGTTTGCACCTCATGGAAATAACCACCAGAGAATACACGAACGTAGATCACCTTCACCAAACCTGAAAAGAATTCCCATGGAAGATACTTACAGTCATAAGCCCTACAGAACACATTCATCTGAAAGAACTGAAAGCAATAGGAGATGCCAGTTACCACCAAAATACTTGGAAATACCATATAAAGAGCATGATCGTCCGTTTTACCAACACAAAATGGAAGACAGATATGTGTTTGAGCACTACAAAGTCATGGGAAATGAAAAAGGAATGAAACCTTTTCATAGACCGTTAGGGGCTTCCTGTAAATTTGAAAGAAAATGGCATGAAGATGGCTTGAGGCACCAGAGGTTGCAGGAAGAGAAGTATGGTCAGTCACCCAGAAGAGTTTCTGATGAATTTACGGCAAGGAGCTCTTTACAGAAGAGGTATAGGAATAAAATAATTAAAACCTGGGTATTGTGGTGTAAGCCTCAAGTGAAAGTCTGTTTTCATTATAGTTGAAGATATCCACCTTGAAACACGTTGGCCACTTTGTAGTTTAATTATGGGCGACTGGTAGTAGTGAAGTATTTGTCTTTTAAGTAAATCGTATTGATGGCTAGAGTATGAAAGGATAATATTTCCCTCTTAAGAGCCCCTGCACATCTGTACCTTGGCGTGAGGGATTATGGGTTAACTTGCCACGCATTCTGCTGTCCAACATTCTGCACATATAAGTTCTCGCTTTCTTCTCTAGTGCAAGTGTAAATTGCTTTATGTCAACACAGGTATCCTGAAGATCACGATTACAGAGAATATGGACACACGTCTAAAAGGGCTAAAGAAATGGAGAGGTATGACGGTGGAGAAGTAGCAAGAAATTCCAAGTGGAAGCAAGAACGTTCTTTTCCACCCTACCAAGAAAAGGAGGAGCAAAGAAATCTGGGTGCACAGTCCCACCGATCGGCTGAAAGGGAGTACTCAGAGGTTTCTGTGACAAAGATAGCCTATGAGTACAGTCACAAACGGCGCAGGCATCCAGATGGGGAAAAGCCTGTTTCAGATGATAGAGCTCAGAAGTATGTGAAGCAGGAAGACCAGAAATATGGTTCTTCTAAGGGTGCCCAGAATAGCAAAGAGTTAGATTACTTTAGTGGTGGAAGAGCAAGACGGACTGAAGAAGGGCACATTGAAGTACCTGTTAAATACAGTTCGAAGAAGGGCTGCAATACTTGTGTTAACTCTTCCGAAATGGGTGTTGATCTGAGATCTTTTAAAAACAAGCCGAAGGACAGAGTAAGGAAAGAAGGGGAATTCAGGAAAAAAGTAGATTCCTCTGATAGCCAGCATGATTCAAGTGATACTGTTTCAGATGTGAAAATGTCAGATGTCAACTGTAGGAGGGAACATCTCACAATCAAAGTGGATATGAAGAAAATGGTGACCAAGTACAGGTACTGGTTTCTCCTCGCCTCTTCTTCTTTCTTCCTATCTATTTACAGTTTATGAATATTGGAGGAAAGCAGGGTTTCTTTAAGAGGTATAAGGATAAACTAAGGTTATACCTTTTTAATTTTATTTTGTTTAAAATATTGACTTGCCTAGACTGGGAACTTCCAGCCTATTTTGAGAAAAAAAAAAAAAAAAAATCCCCTAGTTCATTTCATGGAGATGTAGTGGGAAGTGGAAAGAGCAGATATGCCCGATACAAACCTGTAGTTAAAAGTTGCTTATGATAAGTAAGTGTGTTACTTTTATTTAAAAACAAACAAAAAAACCACCACAAAAGCAGAAAAGCCCAGTTCTGTGCTTTCTTCTGGAATATGATGGCTTTATTTTTTTTTTGCCGAGTCATCCCTAATTTCTAAAAATCAGATAACCTTTAAATTACACGAATCTCAGGCATGCATTGAGATGTTCAAGATCTCAATTTCAATAAAGCTGTTGAAAAATGAGGTCCCTAGGTTATGTTACTTATTGTTGTGATGAATGAAGTGGCAATCTGTTGAGGCATCAGAACTGAAAAGCAGCAGAGTCTGCTTCTGCCTGTCTTCTGTGTAATACTTGTGGTTGCCTTAAGCATTCCCAATGCCAGCAGAAGTGGAGAAAAGTGGTAATACGATGAAAATCTAGATGATGGCTACATGGTAGAGAGTAAGCAGCTTGGTTTGCGTAGGTCTTTGCAGGCTTTTCTGGTTTGTTGCCTTGCTGTGCAGGCCAGAGTATCGTACAATGGCAGTAATCATTTTGCAAGGGAAGGTAATCCTTTCCAAAGGGAATCAGCCTTTATTTTAAAGGTATTTTGGATCTTGTCCTAAATAAAACATCTGTGTCAATTTTTTTCCCTTTCCAGTATTTCAGAAACATGTAATACAATAGAGAGTTACAAAGACAGGTTACTGTCTGTACATAAGGGGCTAATATTAAAGACGGGAAAGGGAATTGGAGTAATGCCCCCTACCCCCTTCCCTGCCCTAGGACAAGCATTTAACTTCCTGAATAATTTATTGTTGAGTTTTGTTGCAAGCTCACAGGACGATTCCTGTATCTAGTTCCCTCTTGCTGTTTTTGAAAGTCATGCACAATGGACATGGTAGTTATTTGCAGACTTAAACTACTACATTGGTTACAGCTAATTTAATGTGTGGAAGGTTTTCTTCCACAGCCAAAAGTGCTAAATACTTTATTTTTTCAAAGACAAGAACACTGATTTTATAGAAGCTGACTGGGAATATTCGTGCTGCCTACTTCAGGCATTTAATAAACACCTTGAAATGACTCAGCTCAGAAGAATACTTTCTTTATATACCTGGGGAACAGGTAGATTATTCAAATCATCTATAATTGAGATTCTTTGGATTCCTTCTTGCATGCATTTATTTCCAGTTTACTGGAGGCAAATAGATGACTTCTGGCCCCTGCTAGACGCTATTTCTTATACAATTTCTGTATGAAATTCTAGTCTTGTACGCTTCAAATAAAAGAAGGCGGCACATAATCACTTTGCAGAATGCACAGTAAACAGAGTCTTTATCCTAAAAGCTTTTACATGGGCTGTTTCAGTCCTCAGTTTATCTTTCCAAATGACAAGCATTTTCCTTGCAACAAGAACAGCAGGATTTTTTAAGCGTTAGCTTCCTTGTCAAAATAATTCTTAACCAGCAATGCAACCATTTGGGGTGTAAACTTCTTTAGAATGAGTAAAATTCAACAAAAAAAAAAATGCTAAACACATCCTTAAGTTCACACGCTGCCACTGGAAAGCTGTTTCACTAGGCTGAAGTGATGATTCAGTTCCCAAAGATGCTGTGAGATTTTTACATCTCTGAACCGTTCTTGAAAATTGTCTGGTAGCTCCTTATAAGCAGACACATACACATAAATGTCTTCCAGAATCATACTACTAAATTATACAACTAATGTAGTATATCAGGATCTTCATATTTGATAATCTAGATGAATAAAGTTTAAAATTCACAAATTTTGTATTGCATACTTCAGTGAAACAAGGATTCCCGAGAGTGTAGTCACATCTCTTTGTATTTTATTGTAACTTTTCTTCCATATGGCCTTATGAGCTTTTTAATTAAAAAAGGAACAAAATGAGATTTCAGTTTTCATCACATTTATTCCTAAAATGAACTTCTTAATTTATTGTTTTGTTCTCCTTGTCTATTTGAAATTTTCAGATATAGTTAATACTTTTAAAGTGAATATCTGCACCTTTTTATTCTAGGACTGCTTCTAGTCATACTACAGAGAGACAGATGTCCCATGATCTGGTTGCCATTGGCAGGAAAACCGAAAACTTTCATCCCATTTTTGAGCACATGGAATCTGTAACACAAAATGTTGAAAATGACCCATCAAGAGAATTTACTCAGGAAATAATCACAATTATCCATCAAGTTAAAGGTGGCTGTAGTATTTGGGGTATTTGTATGTGTTTATGTATTTATAATTATTAAAACCAAATCTAATTAATTGGATATGCTGTCCTTGTAAGTCTCAGGTGTTTGTCTTTGGCTTCGTTTGTATTTTGGCTTCATTCTGTATTGTTTAAGAAAAATATGGGTTAAAGATTTAAAGTAGTTCGATAGAGAATGATTCTAAGAAGGTCTCAGTCCATAATGGAGGCGTTATTGTGGAGTGTTAAGGTCGAAAGGATTTTATGCTAGTACTTAAGACTAACCTGCTTGTTTGGGAAACAGTAGAAGAAAAAAGGAGCTTTGCTGTAGTCACAACTTCCTAGTTATATATAGTTCCTTTAATTTTTCAGATTAGTGTTTAGGCTGCTGCATCATGTTCAGTGTTGAATTTTATTTAGAGATTCTAGTCATTTGAGTACTACTATGATAGAGCTGGCAAATAGTTAATTCTCTGTTGAGCTTAATCTTATTTAATAAGAAGGATGTCTAAGTTGGGCTGGCCTAATCTTTCATTTGTGAATGTTAAACTGCAAGTGGAAATAGCTTGAAATTTAATCTCAGAAGTTGTCTTGGTGTCCTTAAGAGTTAATCTTTTAAAAGATACAATTTCCCACTGTGCATTTCAAATTCTGCGAATAAATGTTCTTGTATTTACCTTCTCTTCACAGCAAATTATTTTAAATCTTCTGACATAACTCTACATGAACGGTTCTCAAAAATTCAGGATAAACCAATTGCAAATATGAATGAAGCTAAAATACGTTTGGATCCAGAAATTCACAGGTGATTGATGTGCTTCTTGCCTTGATTTACTTGCATTAAGGTAGTTAATCTTCAGTAGACTGTACACAATGTGAAGTGTTTTTTCACTGACTCTAAACTATCTGCCTATAGTCTGTAAAGAATTGTGTAGTTGATATAATGCTTTTGCTATTTATTATGACAGCACTTGTTTTTATGTAATATTTTTGTGTTCCAGGAGGATTGACATGTCTCTAGCAGAACTTCAGAACAAACGAACTGTGCCATTTGAATCTCCCCAGGTATTTTTATTACTTAACTTTTTTGTCAAACAGTAAGTTAAAATTATATAGATGTAAACAACGTTTTCCCCTTGCTATTGGTACATCATTTTTATATGCTTGGGAGACCATCAGTACTTCTGACTATTTTGAAAGAAATGCACACTTGAGCATATTTACAGATACCACAATGGTGCAAGTATACTGTGTTGACTGATGAGTAAAATGCAGGTATGTTCTCCAGAGTAGCTGGAGTGTGGTTATTC